ACTTGTAAAATTATTCAAGGTCGGCCACAGCCACAGATAACCTGGCTTAAGAATAACTTATCCAAAGGACATAAGATGTCTCTCCTCTTTAATAACATAACAAAGGAAGACGCAGGTCTGTACACCTGTAAAGCAAAAAATCTTGGAGGAATTTCTGCCGAAAATATCCATATTCTAGTTAACGGTAGGTTCTCAGATCTCAAATCGCATTTTAATCATTCAGTTATGTAAGCTGCGGCCCAATGGACTCCGGACTAATTTTTCTGGGTTTAAGCGCTAGCCAGGATCATTATTCTGTCTTTTAAAGTGAGGAAATTCCTCCACCTTGTTGAAGGGCTTTCCTCTTGAAACCTCTCTCTTCTTTTAACATTAATTTTATATCGATATTACACATATGTACTGCTGATTAGCCGAGTAAGATCATCTCTGTAATATCTTTGAGGATGACAGTCTTCACTTGAAATTATTGAACTGTTAGGAAAAATAAACAATTGATAAGAGGTAGTTATTAATTTCCGTTGCTTGATTAATGAGCGAGAAATCTCTCGTGTTTTCCTATTATTCACAAGTCAGACTCTAAATTAGCACCATTTACCCTACAATTTCCGTTCAGAGGGTTTCTCTTGGATTATTTCGTGTCCATCATAACTACATTACTCAAATATTACTAGTGAAGCTGTTTTAGACTAAATTGTAGGTTGTCTCTTTCTCAAAACAGAAAAACCCGCTGCTCGAATAAGGCGAAATTCACAATCAACACTCGCCGCAGGTGATGAGCTCTTACTGACTTGCAGTGTCAACGAAGCAGCAGTAAATATCACTTGGAAAAAAGATGGAGGCCTAATAAGAGAAAGTGCAACCATTCATTCGCAATTGGATGAGACTACAAGTCGTCTGATTATTGCAAAGGTTGTGAAGGACGACAGCGGTAACTATTCCTGTGAAGCTCGTAACAGACTAGGAGATGTGGCCGGCTCCACTGTGATGATAATAGTCGGACGTAAGCTATTATTAATGTAGTGTCCATCATTAACCAATAAACGTCATTCGATTTTTAATGAGATTGCTCCTTTTTCTATCCCGGCTATTTTTTTAAGGAACTGTAAATCAGAACTTACAAAATGGGTCCTCTGGCTTTTTCAAGCAGTAGCACCAACTTATTTAGACCTGAATAATTTATTGTAATGTCATCGTGATTGTTTGTTTTCTATTCGGGTGTTGCCATTGGTTTACATCCAATATAGAATAATTGAAGGTCATTTCTCAATTGAAAACAAGATTTGAATGGCGTAGCTGATCACATGGTTCTGATTTACCTTCTCATGGGGTAATGACCAGGCGAAAATCAAGCTTAAAGTAGTGCGCCGTCCTGGGTAGTTGCAATTGCTAAAAATTCAGGATAAGATCATCACTTTAATTTGTTACGTCGGATGTTTCCCGCACCTTTAATGAGTTAGAACTTGTATCTCGCGTTCAGATTGATTGGAGGTCAAGTTTCCTAGGTAAATGGCAGGGAGATGGGAACGGTTTTAATTTTTGTGTCAAAAAAAGTAACTAACGTAATGATGGCGCCAGAATGAAAATTCTTAAAGGTTGCTGGTCGTGACGACCATTCATTCGTTTGCAGTGTGTACATTCAATAATCTCATCGTAACTCTTTTAAATTTTTCTTTCTAGTTTCGCCGCATTTAAATCCTGAACTCAAGAATCTTTCAGTTCCACTGAACTCAACATTTGGAAAAGATTGTTTTAAACAGGGTGATCCTCCAGTATCTGTCAACTGGACTAAGGATGGAGAAGCTCTTAGTAACAACAATACGTTAAATATTGAGCACGTGACTTTTAATGAGAGAGGTTTCTATGAATGTGTTGCTGAAAATCTGTTTGGAAAAGTTAACATCTCCTTCTGGATCGATGTCACTGGTAAATCAAAATCATTTTATAAATATTTACAAACGGTGCTTGGTTAGCTCACGTTGTAGAGCGCTGTACTGCCCTTGCGAGGGTTCAAGCCCTTGACCGGCCAACACAGGGTCTTAAATAGATGAGGAGAATATGCACCCTTTGCTATGACATCGGCAAATGGATAGGTATTCCTAGTTTCATGGAAAAGGAGAATAAACCGTAGGCCCCGTCTCCTACTTCTTCTCTGCTCTAGTTAGCAGGGAACTTTAAAGAAACCCACACATTTCTCGCAAAGAGTAAGGAATGTAGCGCCCGGTGTCTAGGTCTGGCCTTGTCGTTGTTTAAACAGGCCCCCATTTTAAGCAGCTTTGAGCTGAACTAGGTCAGCGTGTCTGAATAAACTATGTTCATACATACATATTCCATTTTACTATGGCATTTTGATCTTTTATCAACATTCCTGGAGCTGAACTCAACTTCAATGAAAAGATAGCAGCTTTTTAAAGTTGCTTTTGTTTATGTTGGAAATTTAAGTAGGATTTCCACAAGCCGAGTTTATTCATTTGTTTATAAATTTGTCTTTGATTAGGATACGTCATTCATATTGATATCTTTAAATGAATGGAAAATTGCATTCTGCATATGAGTATAAATTAATATTTTTATGCTAGTAATATCTGCTAGTTATTCCCATGTACCGTGTGTAGGTGATTCTTTTGCCTCAGGAAATTCATGTACCGACGAGATTCCAAAATTTGCTTTTACATCTAATTACTGCCAGATTACTTGTGGTTATTCGGTCGTATCTTGAGAACATTGGTTAAAGATTAGTGGTGCTCTTATTATTTTCAGTGTCTCCTCAGATTTTATTGCCTCCGGTAAACCAATCAGTTATTGAAGGAGACCCAGTAAGCTTTACTTGCCGTGCCAAAGGTGTTCCAACACCAAAACTGACCTGGACATTTGATGGCGGTAAACTTCTACCGGGTATTAATCAAAAAAATTTTGAGAGAGAGTCATTCCTGGAATCATCCCTGCAAATGCAGAGAGCAACAAAGGAAATGGAAGGATCGTACAAGTGTACAGCAGAAAACAAAGCAAATAGAATAAATTATTCCGCAACACTTCAAGTATTTGGTAGGTTCGATAATTATAACGATTATGATGATAATAATAATACTGATGATGAGGTTAATTTTAATAGCACTTAGGGTAATGATGGTGATTGATCCACCGCAACAATAATAATCAACGCCACCTAACTCGCAAAATATGAGGTGAAAATGGTGACTAGTGGCTAATGGTTACCCAAAAGTAACTGACAGCTTGTTAAGAATGAGATGGAGTCTCGATACCCCTGGAATTTCTTCAAGACAATTGATTCAAAGAGTGCAAATACAAACTTGAGTGTAACACACCTGGGAAAAATACCGTAATGAATTATGGGAAAGATGATCGTTGCGCATGCACCATTTACCAGTTGCTTAAGATGACTCTTCCATATAATCACTTTGTGATAATTTGTCATGGTCACTCTGATCATTTTGATCTAAAGGATTTTGATAACTGCAATGACTCGTAGCTTTGTATGGGGCAATATGTCGTAATAATAAAGAACAAAGGGCCGGGTCTCGGTTTATTTAGAAGCATCTGGTAGATTCGGTTGAATGGGGTCTGGGACCCTTTGGCAAAGATACAGAAACATTTTGGACAAGTATTTCAAACCCTCTTTGAACCCCTTTGATGTCAAGTTTCACTCAAATTGGCACGTTCTACCCCGCATTGGATCACTTAGTTTCTCTTTAATTACCTTATTAAGGTATTCTGAACGAATTTTTTTTATGAAAACCAAGTTTTGTATACATTATCTATTTCTCAACACAGAAAAACCTACTGCCAAAGTAAGTCCAAAACCATACCCAACGCTTACTCAAGGTGATAAGCTTAGATTAACTTGCAGCGTCAACGAAGCAACAGTAAATATCACTTGGAAAAAAGATGGAGACCCAATAAAAGAAAGGGCAGTCATTGATACGCAATTGGATGAGACAACAAGTTATCTGGTTATTGCAAAGGTTGTGGAAGGGGACAGTGGTGAATATTCCTGTGAAGCTCGTAACAGACTAGGAAATGTGGCCCGCTCCATTGTGATGATAAAAGTCAACCGTAAGCTGTCATTATTGTAGCGTAGAAACATTCTAGAATTTAACAGCAATAAATCATTCGACTTAATGAAACCTGAAACGTTTTTAAGCATGCTGTTTGCTGTGTTCTGTCTGTTTGTTTGTTTCTTTATTTTTGTTTGTCTTTGTTTTTTTTTGTGTGTGTGTGAATGCGTGTATGGATGTTGGTTGTAAGCGTGTGATTAAAATATGGGTCCCCTGGCCTGTTAGATGCAGTAGAACCTCCCTTTTGATACCCAAATAATTATCATCATTATTGTTTGTTTCTATTTGGCAAAGGGAATTGCTCTGCATCCATTTTACAAAGGCAATGTATTTCTCAATTCAAAACAAGATTCTAACTAGGTCTTCTCCATATAGCTTTAGTTTACCTTTCTTTGAATCTCTTCCATGAAATGGTTGTGTCCTCGTGTACCAGTACACGAGGGAACGAAACATTAACGAACTGCGTCACAACTCCACGTATGGATATGAAAACAATAGGAATTCCCCCGTGTACGGGAAAACAAGGACAGCCCCCATGAAATAGTAGCCATTTCTAATGTGCCAGCGAAGCTCTAGCGAAAAATAGTATCCGGAAGGGCTGGTTAATACTAGGTAACAACCTTTCCCTTACCATCCCATGTACTACCTTTTTAATCTGACTAAGAACCATGTGTTTAACTTACACCAACAGCTGTGAGTCCATTCCTGGTGTGGTATTATATTTTTGGATCAATGGCTGCTGTCATTGTTATTTTGCTCATGGGCTGCTATTTTTGGAAACGTCGAAGGACAGGTAAAGCTCATTCTTCATATCTTGTTTTGGGTAACTTTTCCAGATAGTAAGTTGTGTGAGAAGCAAAAAAAAAAAAAAAAAGAACCAGTTTATGTTTGCTTTTACTTTACTTCGTATTTCAATTGTTCTCCTCAAGTTCACTGTTAGGTAAGTATTAATATCATCTCGGTTTGCAGGAAAAAGAAAACCTTTGAGGCACTATTGGCATGCTTCTACTGTTTCTTGTCTTGCAATTTTATCTGATTTATAATCTTCTATTAACCACTGACCAAAGTGCATATTATTTTTATTTAAATATTCAAGTTAAGGCAGAAGCATTATTCCTTCTTTATTTCTTTCTTGATTTGCCATTTGGACCTACAGCGGCTGCTACAGCTCTGTAAGTCAATTAGTTTGCCTTTTATTTACTGAATTGAAATTACAAAAAAAAAATTAAGTTGGAGTTTAAATCTTACTGTCATGTCAACCATTCCATTTGGAAAGTTAACTAGAATGATAGTCTGCGTGAACGAGTAGTTCTACAATTTTAGTTTTTCTGCACAAGAAAATGTTGTTTTTTCATCTCTGGAGTGATTACCTTTCCTTAAATTGAAGAAATCCGTCAAATAATTTAGAAACTCAAAACTTTTGCGTAACTTCTTTTTCCTTGACCAAGTATACTTTGATTTATCAATAGAAATTGTACGATTTTTATAATATTTAGTCCTTATCAAGGGGAGGCAGTTGAGATGGAGCTGTTGAATGTAGAAGTGGATGAATGGGAGATTGAAGTGAACCGTGTCCTGCTTCAAGACGTCATTGGGCGAGGGGCATTTGGAGCAGTGTGGAGAGCTCTTCTTAGTTCTCCAAATGGGAGACCTGGAAATCGCACAGTTGCTGCTAAATGCTTCACACGTAAGATCCAGTCAACTATCTCTCCTCAAAGCACGTGGATGGGTAGTTTGTGTTTTTTGCCAAGAGTGACGTGCTTTGCACTTTCCAGTTATCATTTATCTCAGGTCGATTAAGGCGCTCTGAGAGATTCATGAAAAGTTATTTTTTATAACAACAGCAAAAATAAAACAATAGAAGCATCAATAGCAACAAAAAATTTGAAGATGGCAGGTATATGCCACAATCGTGAACCAAAGAAAATATAAATTCCTCGAAAGGATTCGCTCGCCGACCGGTTCCATTTTTGCAGTTGTGAGCTCCACCAACTGGGTTTCAAAGACTTCCTCGGATGTGAGTTTTAAATCCTTACCCGAAGTTTTCGCTTCTTAAGCACGAGAAAATTCGTCAATAAGGATTTTTAACCCGGTTATAAAGTATATCCTTTTTATTGTAGCCACCGCAGGGGAGGAAGGTAGAAAATCTTTGATGAGAGAGATCGAGCTGGGAAAAATTCTCGGAACAAGCAATCAGCCAAACATGGTGAAGTTCATTGGCTGCGTCACTAGACAAGGTACATGCTAAGTTTAGGCGTCATTCTTATTACATGCAATACAATTTCAACTGAGTATGAGAATGTTAGCTCGTATGTATGTTTGTTTGTTTTTTTTACTGATTCGTTCCTTCTTTTGGTTATTTTAAGTTCATCCGATCCTTATCATGGAACATTTGCCATGTGGTGACCTGCTTGGTTACATGAGAAAATGCCGAGGAATTAATGATCGGTATTATCTTGGAGAAGGAAGGCCTCAAGTTTTGAACAACTATGACCTTGTGCTATTTGCCAAACAAATCGCCGCCGGTATGGTATTCCTTGGATCAAGGGGGGTAAGTAACTAAAATGCTTCTACATTCAATTTTACCGCAGAAATATCTGTAAGGGATTGTTATATCTTTTGAGTTGCTTGAATATAGATATATCTAAATTATATGAATTTTTTCGGAAGCAGGTTTCATATTCTCAATATTTCTCAAGAGTTCCTTTGGTATTGTCAGTGGGTCACCTAATGTCGCAGTCATTCTGGTATATGTTTGGTCTGTAATGAACACCCTAGGAACAATAGTTCTTACAACCCATGCAAACGTCTGTATAATTTTCCCTCTGGTCATGGTAGATCTCACAAAAGATATGCATTTGTTAGCAAGTTTACATTTTGGATCTTTGTCTTTGGGTAGATAATCCATCGTGACCTGGCAGCTCGAAACGTCCTCCTTGATAACAACTATGTGTGCAAAGTGACCGACTTTGGCATGGCATATCAAAGCTTCAAATACGGTCATGGAAATGCCAAAAAGGTAGAAGATCGTCTTTGCTTTAATTTTTTTGCGGTGGCACTTGTAAACAGATTCCTAAGGTTAGCTCTGATTCTGCCTAAAATTCACCTTAACTGCCAACTGAGGATAGCTCCACGTTCTGCCATGCCACAGAATACAATTGAGTTAGTTGACTTTATCATTTAAATTTATGACATTTGCTAAATTTTGACACTCCATAAAAGTCTCGGAAGAGGTACACCAGCCACCTCACGTTTACGTGCATGTCCTTTGTTAACTCGCTAGTATTAAAACACTTATTTTTAAAACAAACTGTCGTTGCAGGGCTGTTTGCCAATCAAATGGACTGCACCAGAGATTTTGTTGGGAAATTTCGCTGGACTTTCCACCTTGAGTGACGTGTATGTATATTTTTGCACTGAGCTGGCCCTCTCTTTAGTTTTTGTCTTTACATGCTCACTTAGAGAATATCTCGGCAACACTTTTTCGAAATTTTTTCAGGTGGTCTTACGGAATCGTCCTGTATGAGATAGTTACCCTTGGTAAGTCAAACTATGTTCAACAAAAAATATTTATACTTCCCGTCCGTCTATGTCTGGAAATGTTGTAGGTATCGTTTTTGGAACTCGTTAGTAATGTCAATGCCTTTAGGACCCAATTGGCAGACGTTAGTTTGATGAGCTGTGGCAGAAAAACTTGTTGTGCCAAAGTTTACGTCAATGATGAATTTTGCTCAGCTTGTCGAAGTTTCATTCTCTGTAACTGAGAACCGTTGTTTCAGGACTTTCCTTGCCCTGGCTATCACCCAAGACGAGTGGCATTTTGTGTTCGACTTTAAATGACGAAAAACCTTTCAAATTACTTGGCAGAAAAGTGGTAATCAATTACATAAAACATCAGGCTAGGAAACATCAAGTTTCGAATGCTGCTGTCAAGCACTAGAAGTGGATCTCTCTGATTTAAATCTCAACATTTTTAAACGAAATATTCGGGTGTATCACGGCCACAATTTGTTTATTTCTTCGCAGGAGGAATTCCATATGAGGGATGGTCAGAAGGGAATGTGGTTGCACGAGTCACACATGGATACAAACTTCCAAAGCCCGATCATGTTGATGATAAACTGTGAGTCTTGACTTTCAAGTTGCCATGTTCCATTTTAAATCGCCCAATCCCCCTAACCCCGATGAAAAACACATTCTCTCGTCTAATCTGATTTCTTCTTTCGTTACTGAGCTCTGCTAAATGAAACAAATTTAACAGTGGTCACCAGTTTGTTCAGTTAAAAGTTGTCTTTTCACTCAAGAATTTTGAAAAGATGAATTTGCAGCTATTACAGCCAGACATTTCTCATCATTTTAGCCATTATTTGCCCAGGGCTCTCTTAAGATTTCTGTAATGGTTGATTTTTATCACATATTACATAAACCACAGTCCAGTATTGACCATCATTCCTTTGTTCCAGGTATGCTATAATGAAAAGGTGCTGGAATTTTGACCCCGACTTTCGTCCTCCCTTTGAAAACCTTCGAAGAAGAATGGATACCTACCTTCGTGAAGAGGTTTGTAGCACGATTTGAACAAGTCCTTGACGTTCTTGTAGGCCTCTAAGATTATTTATTCCTCCAAAATTACTTCATAGACCACTACTCTTTCAAAGTTGGTTTCAGCAGATTAATGGAAGTGATTTAGGATTGTATTGGTTTCTTCTAACTACGGCTGCGGCCGCTTGCGGGAATTTCAGTGCCTTGAGATTTCATTTTGACGGCTCCTGCCTGTAGTTACGTTTCTTACTATTTGCCCCAGCTTATCGATGTTTTTTAAGTTTTAAAACATTTAAACATAAAACGCGCTAAGATGTCCCATGCCTACGAACCCATCTATCACCATTCCTTCCGCCCTTCCCGCTACTTCCCTTCCAAAGTGCCTGAGCATCTACATTCATAATAAAGGTTGCTGGGAGAGTATAACAGGGTAATTTGGTATTTTCAACTGTGTTGATAACGTAAATTGGCCACCTTTAAGATTTTAAAAGCTGACGTTTCGAGCGTTAGCCCTTCGTCAGCGCAAATAGCAAAGTTCTAACGCTCGAAACGTCAGCTTTTAGACTCTTTACGGTGGCCAATACGTCACGTTATCAACTCAGTTGAAAATACCAAATTACTCATCTACATTCATAACTTCCTACCTACCAACCAACCTGCCTAAGAAAACGCATTACTCTGTGCCTTTAAAGCGAGGATCATTTCTGTGCTTTGAAGTAGTCATTAAAATTTTCTTCTTGACTTGAAGTTAGAGAACATTGTGACGATCGTGAAAATCCTCTTTTATTGCTTTCCCCTTTAGACATATCTGCACCTGCTCGACATGGGATCTTATGACACGACCAAATACTCCAAGGTTGAAGATCTCGGAGGTGAAGATGCCGAACCAAGTGCACGACCTCTAGGGAACGCCGCGGCAAAGAGATTAGGAAAGTGGGCCAGCGACCGTCGTTAGACAGTGTCATTTTGAATATTGCTTAGGAACCAAGCACTCTGTAGTGCATAAAGTATTAGAAGAAAATATGTACTGGTGATAACGGTGATAATTTAAGGGCCTTATTGTGTTATAATAAATCAAAGCTGTTTCCTCGATGAGGCACCTTTAAGTCAGTTTTTTCTTAAGTCGCAATTGATAAATAACTCGATTTAGCTGGTAAAGTCCGGATATTTAAAAAAGGAGGTTATTGGTAAAACAAGACGACTAGTTGTTAGCAATCATGTTATTGAAGTGTCCCCTGCTGGTGATATAGTCCTGATAAGATATTTAGTAGTTTAGTGTTGATTTAGTCATGGATCTTTCAGTAGCGTGTCCTTTATCGACGAGACTGGTGACATGTCTTGTAATATGGTGTTACATGGGTCGTAAATTGCTTAAATTTTGTGTCATTGGTATCAGAAAACAAAAAAAAGTGCATCGCTATCGGTATGTTTACTCTAACTTTCTTGTTGTTATTGTTAAATGCTTTTTCATAAACGGAGAGAACCGTCTCAATAGAGTGATTCTAAAATCAAATTAATCAAGTTATTATTCCAATATTTTCGACTCGTACAAGAAACAGAGAGCGCTATTCAGAGGGGTTGTGGCTGATAGACAGACCTTTACTATGATGAAATGAACCGCTTACTTCAAAGTGGAAATGTCGCTAGAGCAAGGATGAGCGTTTATTTCTGTACATTATCGAAACACACTAAGCTGTATTTAAAATTTTGTAAAACACTCTATTTGATATCTGCAATAAAAGAGTAGAAGCGTACCGCATGGCGGTATTCACAATGTTATATCACTATTTAAGCCGCTCTAGATATACACAGAGAAAGAAAAACACCTAATCTTGTATCTCATATACAACGCAATTTTCTTTTAAAGGACATATTTGAACAGTTCGTTCGTAGTTTTTTTCTAATTAACTCCGAGTTCATTTTACGGGTTTGTTGATGTTTACTGCCTCGCGCAGCTCACGCTTGGACGTAATACCCATATTTAATATGGAAGACTTCGAGAGATAATCGATACCAGCGTCGCAGTGTGTATCATAGACATCCTTCGGAGGTTGGTATCCCGATTTCCCTCCACCCGTCCCTTCACGCTGTTCTTGACAAGAAAAAGGGTAATCAGTAAATTATTCCCATGTAGGTCCGGTGTCCTAGCGGATTTGGACCCCCAACAAAACCGAGTGAAAATATCATCCTTAACACTCTAGTAGAAATAGATAATGCTTAACGTTCCGGTGCGTACTAAAGTATGTTTTTAATTGAAAATATGCGTATCCCCAATGCATACGAACTGAAAGCTGGAAATGACCCTTTTGACCAAGGGAAAATGCGCAAGCATTTAGTTTAATGTTTCGAGAAAGGTCGTTTTTGAAACTTTTCCGCGATAGTGGAACACCGCTAAATTTAATAAGAGACAAAATTGTGACACTAATTTATTTTGTTATTGTTCAATGCCCGAGGGTTGGGACGACATGGTACAGTGCGAGTTGTGCGAGGAATGGTTGCACATAAGCTGCGAGGGACTTAAGACTGCCCCGGAGGGCGAGTGGCATCGTCTGCAGACCGCCAGACTCTAGACGTCTTCGCAATTGTTAAGGATCGGATCCCTCAACAATTAATAATCGTGAAAATTAGAAAATAAGACTGAGTTAGATGTAATAGTCTCCACTTTTGTTAAGACGTATACATTAATGTTGATTTGCATTTGAAAATAAGCTGAGAGCTCCAATAGTTCAGAATAGAAACATTTCTACTATCATAGGCTTTATGAACGACTTGTAATGGGTGTAGTTACTTCGCTCTTGTTCAGAAACTGTTTAATGTTATTTAATAAGAAAATCAGAGTAATTTTTGTGACTGGACACAACAGTCTCCACCATTGTTATGACGTTTCGTATCAATGTTAATTCGCATCAAAAGAAGCAAAGATTTATTGTAACAATTTCACTAGTTCGAATGTAGTAGTTTGTTCGCATCTAATTTTTGTGTTTGCTGTACGACTCGCCATAATAAATGCGGAAGAATTGGAACGAAATGGCTGTTTTTCTTTACCTTTATCGAGGAATGTTGTGTTGTAATTGAAAAGAACATCGACAAAAAGCTTGCAAATAGGATTAGTTACCAAATATGATACAAACGATTCTTAAAAGGAAAGTTTGGTCGGGGGTCCAAATCTGCGAGGGGGGGGGGTCCAAATCCGCTGCAACACCGGCTCTCTTTGCGTCAATAGGTAATCTCTGTTCCATGTCAAACATGAGCACCTTGGGGAGTACCCTGTACTCATGCGTTGATACTCGCAATGCAAAGGGAACCTAGGGAAAGTGCTGGCCCCATTCTTTCTGCTCCTCTGCAATCTTGGCAATAACATCGGCAACCATACGGATAAGTAGTTCAGGGCTCAATCAAGTTGCGTAACCAACGGAAATTCCGAGACTAAAAATTTCGACTTTCGCCACGAAGCACTCGACGAGAATAACCAAAGCGGCATATAAAGCCGTCCATGACAGATTGTCCTCGGTCAAGGGATTGGCTCAATTCTGGTGCCACTTGTGTGACACGTTGTACAGTTCATCATTCGTACAAACTATACTGACCAGTAAAAGCGTCCCTAATCTTACGCACTGACAAGTGTCTGCACTCGTCATCTAGCTCCTTCAGCAGATCTCCCTTCAAATACTGTGAGACCCTCAACTGTAGGCTCACATGCACTGTCTTTTCATCAAACCATCGCCACTACAAAACTCTGTCCTGTGACTTCCTCATAGCCTCAGCGGCATATGCAATTCGGCGTTGCTCGTCCTTTTGCAATTAAGACAACGCAGCAGCGACACAAGTTGTACTAGGGTCTGTTAATGGTATGAATGGAAGGTCAAATCTTGGGAATGCTAGTACTGGACCTTCGAAGAGGACTTTTTTCAGAGTATCGTAAAAAGTTTTGACAATCAGTGGACCACGGAAATTACGTCCCTTCTTCTAAAGCTGGAAGAGAGGGGTTTCAAGTGTAGCAAAATCTGGTATGAACTTTCTGTAGTAACATAACGTTCTCAGAAAAACATTCAGCTGGGAAACACGGCTCGGTGGTGTCCAGGAATTCACTACTGAAACCTTGTCGAGGTCTATGGACACTCCTTGTGCCGACTAGTTATGGCCAACAAAGGGTATCTTTGGTGGCAGGATACAGCTTTTCACCCTCTCTGAAAGCGTCCTGGATATTTTCTGTTGAATTCATTGAGTTACAATCTCGGAATTTGGTAAGTGATTAGGAACAATAACTTTATATCGGTACTATCATTAAAGCACATTTCGGAAAGTTTTGTTAATACATTATTAGTTTACAATTCGTGAACCATCTCTGTAATCTGCTTGGATACTTTCCTTTGAATTAATTGAGTTACACCCTCGGAATTTAATCAGTAATTAAGAATAATAAATCCGTATATGTAGCACAAATGAAGCATATTTTAAACTTTCCATACGATTTTAGGAAACTACACTTAATTAAATGCTGATTCTCGATAAAATGGCCTGGCATAACTCGTTCATTATTTGATTACTTTGTAGCCCCAAAAACCCGGCTTATGACTCTGGAGGTACCGAATTGATGCATTTGATACACAAGGCACCCTTTATGGGGGAAGGTTAGAATAAAATTGCTTCGCTACCGTAGACTGTACCCGGTTTACAGATGTAATTGCACAAAAAATTTCTATTTTTTTCTATTTAAAAGGATAGAAATGTGGGTAATATGCTTCTGCTTTATTTAATTGTAATGGGTTTCTCTTAATGTAACCATTCTATTACTGGAATTTTCTATCTAACCCGCGCGCAAATAATCAAATTTTGTCATAATTTAAGTGTGAGAAGATAAGAAGTGTTGCAGATTTCTTTTTCCAGATTGAGTTCAGGTGAGGAGACCAGTAAACTAACTGATGTCATATGCTTCTCCTGAATCTTTAATTTTATTGCCCAGGTTTTTTTACAAAGCCTCTTTTACATCTATGTGTGCCAGCTAATGATTAAAATCGCAGTGAATAGGTATGCCATATTTCAGCAGTTTTTTTTTAATATTCCATCTTTAGTTTCTGGCATTTTCTATTTTAAAATGTGTAAATGGCATTGCTTTTTCATCTTTGAAAATAGGCACTACACATTTCCTTAACCAAAATCTGAATCATTAAGTTAACTTAATTTAAATTAGTTTGAAACTTCATTCTACACAAGAACACTTTCCTGGAGTATAACGTTATATTTATTTTCCATCTTTCTCGTACATATGATTACTACATGTGTCTTAAAATGGGGATTTCATTATATTGTAATGATTAGAATACACTTATGCTTTCAAATGTAAAAAAGCGTGATGATACTTGCGATACCGCTGCAGTGCTCTACCAACTGAGCTAACAAGCGAACTGGGAGCCGGTCACTGTGTTGGTTTCAAATAAATCCGTGAAGTAGTGAATAAACGGCTGTGGGTATACGAAAGTCATATATTTGAACTGCGCCGGCACTGCACCGGTATCGCAAAGGTCATGGGTTCAAATCTCGTACAGGCCTGAATTTTTTTCAGGCCTTCTTTTCCCTACTGCTTAAGTAGTGTTCATTACTGCGAAGATCGCTTTCGTATCCACGTCTTTATCCACAGTTCAAATATATGACTTTCATATACTCACAGCCGCTTAAAAAGATTGTTTGGTATGGCCGTTGTTCGTTGTTAATCTTTGTAGCCAAAAAGCTACTGAAGGCACTGAACTTCAATCTTTATGTACACAAGGCACCCTCAAGGTGGAAGACTAAGGTATTCTTGGACAACAATTTTGGAACTCCTTTTTTCTTCTTTTTCTCCGCTCACGTTGCGTGTATTCGATGTTCCGACACGTACGTCGTTTTAGTCCGCTCTTTAGTCTTGCGTTCAATTGAAACAGAGTTCACATTACTTTTGGTTGTTATTTGATAACAATAAAACTTTCCATCCTTTTCCTTAAACAAAGTTGCGTTTCCATCCCAATAAATCCACCATTACTATTTAAATGTGCATAGAAGTTTTAATCTATAACAAATTGTAGGTGACAAATTTTCTTTTTAAAATTAAATTCTTTACGAATGCCGCCAAAAAAGGTTGGAATCAAATTAATTTATTCCTACCGGCCCTCCAGCGCGGTGCTTTTAGAACGAGGAAATTTTTGTTCTTTGAGCACTTCGTGAAGTGTTTTTTTTGTAGAACGAGGAAACTCTTGTTGATTGTGCCCTTCGCGCGGAGCTTTTAGAACGAGGAATGCACTTCGCGCGGTGCTTTTAGAACGACGAATAGACTTGCTGTTACATTCCTGGTAGAGTGAGGAACTTTTAAGCAACTCCTTTGATAACAAGAAAATAACTGACTTTCAGAGTTTGGCCCATTGCTGCGGGACTGTTAATAGTCTATTTCCCATAGTGACAGTTCTCTTAGCTTCAACCTTCTCTTTAATAATAAATAAATATACAAAGGTATTCCCTTTTCCCTAAAGTGGACACAATTATTACAACTATTTTGTCCAAGAAAAGGGTTTATTATTTCGCTTTCTCTTTTCGCCTTTTTTTCTTGGTCTTTTATTTTTACCCTCTAAATACCTGAATTGCTGCAAGGAATCGTCAGGATGAAGGTCACAGTAATACTGTCTAATAACTTAATCATGTCTCTACACATGGGGAAAATGTAACATACTAAAAGTTCACAATGATAATAATAAAAAACTGAAGAAACTTTCATTTTTGTCAAGTGGGGGGGATGTTTGAGAGGGGACCTACACTTAATACTTAGTGTTAAACCAAGTATTCCCAGAGGACAGTGACAAAAACCACAAGGTTTTACATTACACCCATATAGAGCTGTAACCAGAAGTCAACACCCTTCTGCTAAGAGATAACTATAATTATTTGCTTCATTCATGTACATGTATTTACTTCTATTCACAACTTGTCTGAATGTGGAGACTGAAGTTCAGTGCACAGCTGTGCCATCAACACTGACATTATGAATGGAAACAAAATGGTCAAATCCACTTTTGATAAGAAATCTCAGATGACATGCTGATGTAACAGGAATCTACAAAGGAAAAAACATACAAATAATATCAAAATGTAACAGCCCTACATTCACAGTTAGGACTGAATATTTGTACTTTTATACACTGATCAATTTTAAGTTTCAACAAGTCTCCCCCCCCCCCCCCCCCGAGGAACCCACAGCATTCAACTGAAAGTGCATGTCTTTCCATCAGAACACACACATGGTTCAGAATGCCAGATACATATATTTTAGACCTGAAACACCATTGAAGCAGGATTCAATTTGCTGAATTCTAAATACTTACCTTAATCTCATCTCTCTGCATCTGACCCTCTAAATGTTCATACTCTGTCACAGATAACAATTACACATTATTAATAAATTGCATGTATGTTTCGTTGAATTTGTCAGTTTTAAATTCTACAGTCAACCACACCCTGCAATCAGTCAGGCCTGGGCCATGTCAATGTGCATTGTACTGTGCTGTCAGTGATCAAAAATAGAGGATTATTTGACTGAATGTCCTTGCTTAAACTTGTTTTAATTATTTTGTTATCATGTTCATCATTTTTTCCTAATTAAATTTTCAAAGTAAAATCAGGCTATCAATTGTATCATAAATGGTAGCCTTACTTTACATTGTGAGACAAATGCTTTTAAAAAAAACCATTTACCTCTAATTAACCAGGATGAACAACAACATTTTCTATAACATATCTATGGCTTCTTTTTACCTTTGTCCACAAGAGGTTCAAAGTCTACTGGTTCTGTTTTTGTGCTTTTCTCAATGCAGAGGCTTTTAACTGCAAATAAAAATTCATATATGCTACAAAACCTTGAAGCTCCTGGTCTCTAATGAGCTGGTAACCCACATGTACCTGACTCCTCACGAAGACTTTTCTCAATTTTTTACATCACAATAAAAAAAAAATTACGTCTAATTTTTCACAATGCAGCACAAAAACAATGATGTAGCCCCTGTGATAAAACACAGGCATGCATAGCATGCAAGAGTTATTTTTTTGGCAGGGTGGGTTGAGATGGGACACTTTGCATACCTAATGTTTTCATTTTTGTGACAGGAAAAGAGCATAACTTTCAAAAGAACAAAAAAATATTGCATTACTTCACCATAAGAGAAAGAAAAAAATAATCTAATTTACCTGAACTCACACAGGTAGTTTTTGGTCTGTTGTTTCTATGGTATAATACTTCTAAGCAAAAATAGAATGCAGCGGTACCATGCTTATACTGTTGTCTCCTTAACACCCATTGTTTGATTTCGTCACACAATACGAGCTATTCTTCATTGAAGAGAGAGCGCGTTGCATGGCTAGAGACCAAATAATGGTTGCGAAAGGGACTATGCTTTCTACTGTTCCACTACCAGAAAGAATATCAAAATTATTTGTCTAAAGTTAGTTGCCGTAAAAATATCATTCTATGTAATTTTACTGCAAAAAGCAAACTGAAACTCTGTTGGACAATGCTGTTACTATAAATAATGAAATGCAGGTTATTTACATGGAAATGACACAAGATTGAGCAAAGTCTAATGTGGCAAAATGGAATTTGATGGGTGGTACAATTCAAGCATGTGAAACATTGCCTACTGTTCATGTAGAGCAATGATTGGGCATGTTCTGATTAGATTTTGGATGTTGTTTTCATGGTACGTGTTTGGCATGTGCATTGTAAGTAAAGGAGCGGAAAAGACACCTTTTAACTTTAAAAAAGGATGCAAAAAGTTAAATGGAAACCTTTCATATCACAAGAAGTCTTGACCTTTTGATGAGGATCTTACGAAGGCCACAAACCATTGCCCTTATCAAATGAGCCCAAAATATTTGATTAATGTCATTATTTGTGCACAGCCCCCTAATTCCATGACATCATTTGCAAGAAAAGCTATGATTGGTACAAGATATCAAAATGTTGTGATATGATTGGTGTAAGATATATACCCCAATGCAGCAATCTGATTGATGTGAGATACATTACATACCCTAATGCAGGGATCTGATTGGTGCAAGAAACATACCATTCCACTCACTAACATAGAGTTATTTATTCATTTATGAAAAAAAAAAAAACTCAAAAACCATTAAATTGATAATGCCCATGTTACATTACACTAAACACAATTTCAAGATCTTCCACCATCATCCTCACCATTTGAAGATAGGAATTTTATATTTCCAATGCTCATTAATGCACTAAAGGTGATGATGAATTCTTGAGGAAACATTCCAGTTGTTGGCCAGAAAGTATCAAGGCTTCTATGGAGCAAAATAAAAAGACAATTAGTTCTGTTTTGGCTGATCAGGATGCAGCCATAGGAGTCACAGATGGTAAAATTTGAGACTCACAGATTACAAAGACCCTTGTTTGAAAATGCAAGAGCGTGACTATATATAATTTAAGCTGCTTCACATGACCTCTCACTTTGGCTGTAAGACTTCTAGATGGGAACTTGAGTTGATTCTAAACAAGCTTTTTAGCCATAAACAATTGACGGCTCATGATCTTAAAGGTATCATTCATCAACCTTTGCCTTAGAGTTTTCCATTTACTTATTACTGAAATGTACTATAATAAAGTAAAACCCTGCTAACTTGAAACCCAAACTAACTCAAAGAAGATCCAATTTTCCCTGGATTTGACCCCAACTTTTTCTGTCATTGGTAAAATTTCCACACAGCCCCATACTGTTGTAAAACAAATCTGTTTTCCCAATGGCAGTGTATAGTTTTAGTCATTGTTTTCTCTATCCAAGAACTGAATGCATAATGTAGTATGGGGCTGTGTGGAAATTTTTACCCTGTCATTAAATATCACCTAACTTAAACCATTTTCTGTTTCCCTTTGGAGTTTGAGTTTGCAGAGTGCTAACATAGTTTTCAACTTTTGTGTGACATTACCAAGTACAGATAAAAGCAAGCATCTGCAAATATTGCGTTACTCTTCATACCTTTCTTTTCTTAAATCTTGCTTTTTCAGAATAAACAGATCATGCACATTCAAGAGGGCCACGGGTTACCATGACAACTACTATCGTAAAAATGTTCACGATAGTACATGTAGAATGATTAGGTCATGGTCTACCAGTTTAGCAATTCCAAAAAGCATAGCATTACTGGGTTTCAGATAAATTGGAAGTGGTCTTGAAATATCTTAATTGTCCTTATCAAAACCTCAATTAACTTTGCTTGTTCGAAATTTGAAATGTTTGGCAAGATCTTCACCGAACGTAAAATACTTACCCATCAATGATATTTTCTGGTGGATGATTTTCATCAAATGATGTAGCAAGGGCAATAGTTGCTCCAGCACTACTTAAAGCCACGTCAAACATGTTTTTAGTGCTATTTTCTGAGGAGGAAAACCCTCTATCTCGCAAGTGAGGGGTTCAAAACATTTCAAAATCGATTGCCCCGGAGAATACTGGGCCGAGCTCCATGCTGAATATGCGCAGCTTGGTTTTAATTGCTGACAAGTAGCATACTCATGTTCAAGATGGCGGACGTTTCATGCAGAAATTGTTGCTGGCATTGATAAGAAATGTTTCCACTAAATACGAAACAATTTTCTGCTGCATTCCTGGATGTAAAGCGTAATAGTCAAGGTTATAACGAGGAGGTCAGTTCAGTCGACAGGGATGCAACCAAGAAACTACTGCGGCCCTTCCATATTCCCCAAATCGGGCCTTCTTCTATTCCACAATGTCATCATCTTGGGACCATGATGTGGAATTTCATGTGGAATTGTGCGAGAAGAGAATGTTATCCACCCGCTCATCATTTGGAATCAAGAGAAGACTCACGAATGGAATCGCGAAGAGCACCTGAACAATCATGTTCTTCAGTTCTTCCGGAATTTGAATTACATCGCGTAACTTCAAAACATAAAGCACGAGAAGCAAACGAGCGACAGAGTGCGGAAAATATTGAACTTTCAAGACTAATTAAAACACAATCTTTAAACAAGACCTCTTCTACAAGAAGTACTGATTCTTCTCGAAACAATGTTTGTTGTGTGGAAGCAGAACCACAAAACAGAGGTATCCTCCAGCAATCTAGCTGTGAAGAAGCAAATGTTTCCAATGAGACTTTTGTTAATAGCAAATTAAGTAAATCGATAAGAGCATCCCACTGGGATAGTGACATGAAATCTTCAGAGTCTGAACATTGTATTGTCTCAGATTATTTTGACAGAGAATCAAAGTTAAGTCCAACTTGCAATGTACTAAGTGAGTTGGAAACCAAGGTGGATGTTAATGGTATATATGGCAGAGAAAGTTTGCAAAGCGATTTGGTCTGTAATGGTGATTGGTGGCTAAACAGCGACAATATTTCAAACCTCAAGGATTCGACTGCACCTCTCATTCCTCATGCATATAGCATTGAGGAGGGTGATTTTGTTGGCAAAAAGAAATTTTTAGAGAGATTGCTTGAGACAGAGCTGCAAATAAAGCCTTTGACTCTGGTTAAGGATGGCATTTACAGCCAAAGGCCAGTTTCAAATACTTTTACCCTAAATCTGAACTTGGAGACAGTGATGTCCGTTCTCTGCACTGATGAGGAACATTCAAAGAATGCTGAACACAGTGATATTGATCTATGTGGGAAGATTTCCATTCTGTATGGCATCCAGGATACAATAGTGTCAGTGGTTGCTAGTGAGGTGGTAGGAATGTATGATTATATCTCAGGAGCTGTGTATGGATTGAAGGGATGCTGTCATGATGAATCTGAATATCAGTTAAAGGTAATTTATTCTAGTAACTAGAAGGTTGGTGGCTTTGATGAACTAACATAAATGAATTGGTTGTATCTGACTCAGGTAAAATATAGAACAGGGTTTTAGTAAAAATGAAGGTTAGTGTCTCTTGTCAGTGTTCAGTCAGTGTTGTGTTGAGACTCCTGCTTGTTTTGTTGAATGATTCTGCCTTCTACAAAAATGTGTCTATGCTTGAAAATTGACTCATAAAAATTTGGCAGATTTATCATGTAGTCTAAGCATTAGTAACTTTGTGTTTTGTCCAGTTCTAGGATGATTCGTCCTGCAATCTATTAGTTACCTTTTGTTCATAGTCAGTTCTCAATCAGGCTTTCCAACCAGTCCAGTTATAAAATTGTCTGGAACTTGTCGTCAAGGTTGTGGGGAAGTGCATGTATTTCGTCTTTGTGTGTGGCTGTGGACGTTTCACAGTGGCATAGCTAAAGCCAGACATCTTTTGTCAGCTTGTCTTGCACTGTTTCCCAGTGGGCCCATGGAATTGGATGATATATCTCAGTAACTGTAGCTAAGTTGTTAACATATATTTATCAAAATTTCCATAATATTAAAGCTAGAAATGCTGTAATTTCATAAAGTACTTTAATTCAGTGCTGAGAATTTGTTTATCTATGTAGGACAAGAAGTACCCCCTTTCATCAAGTGCAGTGAGTTTGGACCTTAAGGAATTCATAGTTCATTTTCAACAAAAACTGAGAATGTCATCTCACAGTGTTGACAATGACAATGTGTTAAAGGAGCACTCTCCTGTTGCCTGGTTACTGATCTCACCAGCTCTTGGAGTGACCCTTGACTGGCAAGTACAAGAGAAAGTCCTTGAATCTATAGAAACTTTGTCATCAGAGGAATTTGCTGAAGAGCAAGCATCTGACAGTTACAACAAAGGATGTTTTTCAAGCCAGTGGTACAATCTGTTGGTAGTTGTCGACCAATATCGTTGTTGTGAGAAAGATATTCCACTGATTGAGGTATTTGAGTTTTGCAGGAATGGTGAAATCAATGTTGTAAACTTTGACTTAACTTAAACGATTAGTTCATGTGAAACAAGCCTGACTGAAGAATGGAACAATTGAAGTATTGCTGGTAATGCTGTGCTTTGATACATGTATGTCATTATGTAAAGTATTGATTATATTCATCTGCAAGGTTTTGTTTTACAGTACATTGTATGAGCTCTCTCATGTAGCAAAAGTTTAACATTTGTTTGTAGCCACTCTCATATTTTTGCAAGATTTTCAACTGGTATAAAGAGATTAAACTTCCTTTAGGAAGTGTTCAAAGATGAACTTTAACCTTAAACCCCTAAGAGTGATTTACTTCTAATTTCTCCTTACAGTATCAACCTTGATTCAAATGTAAAGGTTATCAGAATGTAGGAAATAATCACCAATTTAAGTAGTTCCTGATTGTCAAACAAATTCTCCTTGTCAGTACCAAATGTAAGGGCAACAGTGTGGAGACTATTAATACTAGTTAGAATGTACAGGGTAAGGAACTCAAAATGAGAATTAAGCTCTTTTTAATTTTCCTCTGCTTGGCCAATCAATTACCCAGCTGAAACATTTTGAAGTGAAGGAGGAAAAAAAAGGCGAGGTTACAGTTGTATTTATTAGTTACATAACAGGAAGTGCCATTTACCAAATTTAAAGCAAGAGCAACATTGTTAAGCACAGTTAAAGTAGACACCCCAAAGATCTCCATGCGTCCAGTAGTTCCAGTTGCAACATTATGCCATTTTTTTTTCGTATTAAAATATGCTGCTCTTATTGAGTATTGTTGTTTATCTCATAATGTACTCACTTCGAATATGGATGGTGACGATTCAACTGCATGCTAATAAATTTTATTACATAAACTGTGGTGTTATATAGGGATTTCCAGCCCTAAGAAAAGCCATAACAACACAGGTGAAAAAAAAATACGTTTTTTTTTCACGAGTGTTTGATATCGCTAATCAGCTGCTTACATGTCACTCGCCTTTTACACCACTCAGTCATGTTGATGAATGAATGGCAAAGCCCTCACTGTTGTTTGTCGGAATTTCCTCAGATTATGGCTGCTAAAAAACCGAAAAATCCCTATCACTTACAGACAGTAACGTTCAAACTTGCCTAGAAGGGGAAGAAAATCAAAATACGAAAAGGAAAAATGAAAGTTATGTATTCAGTGGCTTTGGTAATAATGGGAAAATGGTCACTAAGAGAGTTGCAGTTTAATGTGGCCTTACATGTTACAGAATTATAAAATGTTTGCGTGCATCATGGATTCTCACGGGCTTATGTGTGAAGCCATATCAACAGTACAATAAAGTGGCAAAATTTGGAAGAATGGAAAAATGACGCAACTATTTGCCTTGGTTTAGAGGCAAGTAGAAGAGTTAGGCTTGAAACTTTTTCCACTGACTGTCCTTTGACAGGGACATAAAATATTTAAAATTGCCATTTTAGCAGGATATGTTACAGTTGTAATAATATGTATCAAACAATCTAGATGAACTGTGTTCAAATGAACACTTAAAATTTATGACAGATTTCTACAATTCAGGAATGTTTGGAAGAGATATTTGAGCAATCTGTGGATATAAAAATGAAAACAAGTGTGAGCAGTGCATAAGCCATGCAAGGGCATGAGGCAAAAGCAAGAAAGAAAGGGGAAGCTAGGAAAGGGTAAAGCAAGGCATGATGTGCCACTGTGCCTAGAGAATCCAGAAAATTCACTTAAATTATTTCACAATGGTCCATAATACAGGTTAGCCCCAGCATTTCATCAGACTTTCCTGACAATTTTTGTTTACCCACTTATACTCCTGTAATATCTTTATGTTATTATTTTGGTTGATTTTAGTTGATTTATCTTTTCAATCCAGGTGGAAGGGAAGTGTTATTTCAGGCAGGTCCTGAACATCCTTGGCTGATCAAGACATATTCAGAGGTAGTCCCACACCCCTGTGCACAAGCTCTGGGCCAAGAATTCTTTCAGAGTGGAATCATACCTAGTGACACTGATTTCAGGATTTACAGGGACTTTGGCTAAGTACCAGGTATCTGAATTATAGACTGACACCTAGAGACTGATTGAATGACTGAATGACTGACTAAGTGAATAAATGACTTATTGACTGATTGTCTGAATGAATGATTGAATAAACAACTTGATGGCTGGCTTACTGAACAACTTACTGACCTACTGACTGAATTACTCTTTCACACTGACAGATTGACTGACTGATTGAATGACTGACTGACTGACTTACTGACTGACCAACTGAATGAATGAATGAATGAAATGCTCCTTAACTGACTGAATGACTGGTTAGTATTTGATCAATTCATTATTCACTGATTACCTTATTGACTGATTGATTGTAATCTTAGTGAAAATCTCTTTTGCATTGAACCAATCTGGTTAGTATACTAATAATTTTCTGATGTGTAGGAATGGACCTTGCCTATATTGCCAATGGTTATGTTTATCACACAAATTACGATACACCAGCTGCTGTTACTCCAGGCTCTATCCAGCGTGCTGGTGATAACATACTGGCTTTGGTCAAGAGCATAGTTAATTCACCATTTCTGGCTGACCCTGGAGAGTATTGTCATGGTTCCATGGTGTTTTTTGACTTCCTGGGAATTTTTGTGGTACATTACCCTGAAAGAATTGGTTTGGTGATAAATCTGACATCAGCTTTTGTGGCAGTTCTTTGTCTTATGAAAAAATTCCTTCATTTTCCAGCAAAGAGAACCATCTTTGAGGAGGGTAAGGGATAATCTACAAGTAGATATCTATTATTAACATTCTACATTTTCTAAATTTTGTACAATGAGCTATGAAAGCATAGGCCTTAGAGCTGACCTGAGTACATCTTCTTTTCCATGTGTGAATTAATCAAAGTTTTGTGGTCTAAAAAAAAATCAAAGCTACACAAAATAAACAAGGTAACAATGGGTGTTTTTTTTTTGTTTTTTTTTTTTTTATCAACTCTTTTAGAGCATTTCGTAAAATATGATTAGGTCATTTTTGGGACTGGTAAGTTTTTATATTCTGTTCATTGTTTCCATGCATGTTGATAAAATTGTCAACATTTTCAATTTTCTGTTAAGCCAGTTTCCTACTGTGATAGGGAAAATGGCATAGATGGGGGGTGTCATACAATGTTTACAATATTGTGGATCTTAAAGTACACTGCAATTGAAAGCTGTCCTTAACACTCTTTTTAACTGTTGTTTTTCATCAGGCAAAGTATTAAGACTTTCATCTGGTGTAGGAGACCTTATCATCTCTCTGTTCATCCTATTACTCTCATGGATAGTTGGAACATCATTTTCTGTGGCTGTAGGTGTCCTTCTGATGTACTCAGGTCACTCACTAACTTGGTACTGCCGACCTTACCTACTCTTGGCATTATACACAGCACCATCTCTACTGGGCATTGGTTTGGTTCATTTTCTCATTAAGAAGTCTATTGTGGCAAAGGTAGACACAATTTAGTTGTCAATTTAGTGACAAGCAAAGAAAATTTGACAATTTCCTTTCTTCTTATGACCAATATATTTGATCTGGGGGTGACAGTCAGGGACTTCAAGACAAGCTGTTGACTGCCAGAGTTCCACCACATACTTAATAACATGTCCCTGGTTAATCTGGTCAAAATAATCACCTTTTGGCCTCTTAATGAACTAATTCCCACTCACATACTTTTGCTGCATCTAATGCCGACTTCAATACATTTTGAAACACCTGGACAGCATGGGGAGAAATGAGATGCTAGTCTCCCTAAGGGGTTAATGGGTCAACAGAAAAGTTAATATTGTTTTGCCTCCTTTTTGGTCTGCATAATGTTATTGTGGTGAACTGATCATCTCAAGTCTTTGTTTGTGCTCATTTGAATTTCATTATTTGTCTCCATTGAAAGTGAATTTTATTTTGTTGGGTTAAAGATTTATCAATGTCTTAATTCTTAAGTATGAAAAGAACCAAGAAGAAAGAAGAAAGAAGAAAGAACAGCATATGAAAAGAACCAAGAAGAAAGAAGAAAGAAGAACATATGACAAGAACCAAGAACCAAACTTTATATTTTCATTTTGAACTCTGCTTTCAGTTTCTTATTGCAGAATTTGTAGCACTGAGCTATGTAGTGTCCTCCTTTTCAGGCAGTAACTGGTAAAATTCATCACCAGTAGCACCTCTTGTTACCACCTAAAATCACTTAATATTCTGGAAAATTCAACATTTTAAAGGATTGGTCTGAAAATTTAATATACCTGTTGTGCTTAAAATAAGGGAGAACAGTGGCTATGCACACTTGTTATGCTTCCAATGAAGCGGAACAACCAGGATTTGCTGAAAATGCAAGTTGCAAAGCCCTTACACTGTGCATGCTTGCATTTTAATTATTCAAGCTTTCAGCATAGATTATTACTTTTTGGAGGGTTCTAAATTCACACTGGAGTGCACATTTTCACAACCATTTATTAGACCATTAAATAGTGGGTATGTTCACACCATTGATGACGCCATCCAAAAGATGTTTTTCAGTTATACCTCTCATCAACATTTTTTCTACATGCAGCACACATCAAGAACATTTTACAATAATGCTGGTGAAGTGGTTCAACAAGATGCAGGTGCCTGGATCACTCCACTAGACTATCTTGGCATACAGCCATTCAGTGATATACCCATGTTTAAAAAGGCTTTGCCTGCACCTCAGGACGGAGTTTATGGAGGTTTTCCTTATTACCTGCCATTGAGGCATCTCGTGCGGTATGTGGTACTTGCTCATTCAATGTTTATCTGTTGGTCTCTGGTCATTCAGTGCATGGCCAATTCACTGGAATTTCATCAAAGAAAAGTATGGAATAGAATACAAGCTGTCAGGCTTTGCTAACTTAATATGTTAGGCAAGTTGGGCAGAAAATACACAGCCTTGCTTTAACTCTGGAAAGGGAGGGGTCAACAGAAAATGGCACAGAAATATTCTGGTGAAACAGTAGCTCTATGTGCCCAGATTTTCAGAGCTTGTACATCATCATGATCCAATTTTGCTTAATTAATCAACTGGCTAAAAAATGGGGACCATGTGTTATCTAAGTGTTGATCTTCCTTTCATACCATATGTGATTTATTTATTTTGCTTACCTATCCTTGAATCTTTAAGGAGCACTTTCACAGCTACTTGATAACAAAGCTAAAGTAAACAATAGGTACCATGAGCTGTTGCACTTTTTTTCTTTCACTGTTACTCCAAAATACCTATAGCATTTAGTTTGTGACATTTACTAGGTGATTTGTTATACTTGTTCCATAGATCCTATATATAGAGAAAGAATCCTGCATGAACTTAACTCTGAATTTATTTAATTACCATTCTGAATATTTAAAACTACTGTCTAGTTCAATTTATAATTCTGTTTAACTGTGAAGTGTTATATTTGCAATCAGAAAATCTTGGTATCTCCCTGGTCCTCCACCTCAAGTCAAAACATCTCCAATGGAAGTGAAATTGCTACATAGGAAGAAACAGGATCAAGTTTACTCATTTAAATTCTCAATATCAGGTCAGGTTTCTCTCTTTTAACCCTTTGACCCCTTGAAGTGACCAGCATCTAATTTCTCCTTACATTATCATGTCATGCATTCATATCTCACTAGTGTCTGACTTCTCACTGCCTTAGGTCCTGATCACATGGCTGTATATGTATCACCTGCTAGTGACGTAGATTTGCTGACCTCTTCCCTTGGTCCCCTTTTACCAATTCAAGATGGTGGAGACAGAGTTGTGTACTTTATTTACTATTCTCATGGTACTGATGTGGGGCCCTGGGAACTATCGCTTGAGCTTCTGGTGAGTCGGACAATTACAGTATTAATCATGCTTGTGATTAACAAATCAGACTCCCGCCTTGCGGTCGTCTGATTTTGTAAGCTTCTAGAATGTTCCAGAACATTTTGTTAATATATATATATATATATATATATATATATATTTAAAGACTCACTTATGTGGTAGTTGGGGTAGTTATTGTTGTCAGAGCAACGACTGTATAGAAAGCTATACCAAGAGAGTGAGCAGGTCCTTATTATAAGTGCTATGGCATGAGTGTTTCTTCACCTTCAGGAAAATATGAGGCCTTGAGTAACACAGCACCACAGTCTTTTAGAAATGTACACCTTTTAAACAGTGCAAGACTCAGTTTTGTTGTTATAGAAATGAACAATGCTTCATATTGTTGTTACAGAACTGAACAATGCTTTTAGGGTCATTACTCAAACATATTTCAGTTCTGACTAAATGATTGCTTTCTGTGTACTAGTCAAAGTCTTCATGGTGTTGGTGGAAATGAACACTGCATGAGTGATAAAGATTTCTCAAATTCACAAAACATTTGTGGGTCCAAAACAAGTTCATATCAAATGAACAATGCTTCATTTTGTTGTTGTCACTAGTACATATTTCTTTTCTGATCATCATCTTCATCGTATTATTAAGAACAAACAGCACTTTATTGATAAAGATTTCTCAAATTCGTTACCCATTTACAGCCTGTTAGTTTCTTTTCAGTATTTGTTTCTTCGGCCAACATGACTCAGGATTTCTGGCAACAAGACTAAAAGTTTCAGGCAACTTTACTCTGGTTTTGGGCAACATGACTTTGGGCTAGTTGTCTTTTGCGTGACTTGACTTGAGCCCTGGTGAACCCCCTCCCCGACCTGACTCAAATATTCCCTTGGGCAGAGAAACATGGGTCCTGCAGTGCTGACAGCAAGCGCCTGCTCTCAGGCTAATATATCCTAAGATTCTTTTCATTTAAATATCATTTCAGCTAAAAAGACACCTCCTGGCCAAGAGCAATCTGTTAGACTTTGCTGTGGCAGCTCATTATATTCACGGTAAAGAGTCATCTTCACCTTTCCTCAAAGAAGTCATTCAAGCTATTCCAGACTGGATTTTTGCTAATGACTGGGTGGACACATACAAGAGCTGGTCTTACGCTACATAATTCCCTGTATTGCAAGAATGCATCAGTCCAAGACCTTCTAAACACTACTATGAAATACTGAAAAACAAAATTTCAAGCCAGGAGTTTGAAGAATTGCACCAGTTTGAAACAGTTCACAGGTTGAAAATTATCATGAAGATTTTTACATTTTAGGGTGGATGACCTCAATATTATTTATTAGGATTATAAGAAAATTTGAAGGGAAAAAATGAATGTGAAATAGCACATCATCAGAAGAAGTCAGGCTGGTCATACATGGATCCAAAAAATTTTTTAAATCACCTTAATTAATTTATAATGATTTTATCTGGAAATGAAATTCCAAATAAAAGTAAGGAATCAAGAAACATAAAGTAAAGGATTGTTTGCTAGCCTGTGGTCTGTCAGCAGACCCTCAGTATAATGATTCCCTTTAATGCCCAAGAGTGCCATATGGCACAAGATGCATATTGAGGATATAAAAGCATAGCCCCCTCCAATATAACACTTGATATACCACCCTTCAACTTTTGAAACTTTTTGTCTTTTTACTGTATTGGTCAAGGTGATATCTCACAACAAGCAATGCTCTAGGAACTACAATTTAAGCTATAGTTTAGTGGTATTTACCTCATATGTACAAGGCAAACGTAAAATTTCAACCTTTTTTTTTATTATTTTTCACTTCAAACACTTCTCAGTATTTTTAGTCGCATCCTCCTCGCCTGTTAGTGTCGTTATAGCATACCCCTGAAAACACCTTTGAAATGATATATTATACGTGGTCTAATGGTTCATCGTTCTCATTTTAGAAAAATTTGGTATTTCCCTCAGGCAGTAAAGGAATAAGCGTTTCCGCACGAGCGGTTTTTTGCTCGCGGGAAAATATGAGGCCTTGTGTGACGCAATCTGGTAAGGGTATCCAGTCACCTCGCCACCAAGCAGACTCGCCACCAGCGAACTCGCCACCAAGGAACGATCTCGCCACCAACGTACTCGCCACCGTCTTCTCGCCACCAACCACCAATAAAGAGATTAGTCGAGGACAGTAGGATGTTCGGCTGATAAGTCTGTACTCAAACTTTATAAACGTATGTTGTCGAAAGCACGTTCGAAACCGATAAGTTTGTTCGCTTGTCTGTACTCAAACTTTATAAAAGTATGTTGTCGAAAGCACGTTCGAAACCGATAAGTTTGTTCGCTTGTCTGTACTCAAACTTTATAAACGTATGTTGTCGAAAGCACGTTCGAAACCGATAAGTTTGTTCGCTTGTCTGTACTCAAACTTTATAAACGTATGTTGTCAAGCACTGGGAAGACTTTAACGGCAACGAGATTTCTGCCCGCCGCCTTCTCAAACTCTGCAGTTACCTGAACGGCCCGGCGACCAGAACCTGAAGCAGAACCTGGAACATCAAAAAACGGCTCTTTTAGGAGCCACCGCGCCCTGGTTGCGTCTTTCGGACGTTTCCAGGTCGCTAAAAATGGCTCTTTTAGGAGCCGCAAAAGTCATGATCAACATATGAGCTGCTCTTCCAGATTTAATATTCAATAAAGTTTGTTGTTATTTTGCCGCGGGGAAACTGGGTAATATAATTCGACCGAATATTGAATAAGTTCCCTTGACAACATCACAGATGTCGAAATTTGCATACAGATAAGTAAACAAACTCTCGAGTCGATTCGTTCGAACTTATAACATCACAGACGTCGAAATTTTCATACAAATAAGCAAACAAATTCAGGAATCGATGGGTTCGAACTGTTAACTCTCCTTGGGAAACAACTGTAGTTGCCTTAGGAAAGCTTCAGTCCATCGACGCTTACAATTTCTCGCACCGACTTGACAATTTCTCGCATTTAGTTTTAATACAACTGCTATCGAGTTTCATTTCATCACTTATTTCTTCCCATGAAGTTTCATTTTCTCTCAAGTAAGTTTTTATTCCTCGCATCGAGTTTTGCAATTTCTCCTCGCTTACGTGCAAAAGACAAACAAGATACGTTTCGATGTCAATGAGTTAGGAACGGAACACATCTAACACGTCGCTGAAGGTCATAATTTAATTACAGACAAGTGCACAAACGTATCGGCCGATTTGAATTGTGCTCGTTCGAACATCCTATTCTCCTCGACTACTTTATTCTAGTTTATCTCTTTATTGGCGGTTGGTGGCGAGAAGACTTCGCTTGGTGGCGAGTACGTTGGTGGCGAGATCGTTCCTTGGTGGCGAGTTCGCTGGTGGCGAGTCTGCTTGGTGGCGAGGTGACCGGTAACCCTGGTAAGAGGTCTGCAAGGGGTCTAGTATTCATTATTAATGCCAAACCCACGTCAAACTTCTCCCTGACGTTTTTCAAACCTTCCTGTGAAAAGAGAAACGCATGTCCTACACCCTGTTCAAGCAGTTTAGTTAGAATAATGGACCAGATGGTAAACTGAGCGACAGTAGCGGCAGAGCGAAAAGAGGAGGGAGGTTTTGGGTTGGGTTGGATAAAAGTGGAAACCTTGATTCTATTTTCGCTCTGCTGCTACTTTGTGCTGTTCACTATTGTGCTCTGTTTTACTGACTGAACACCTGGAACAGGCGGATTGTTTGCAAATTTTAAGTTCTTAACCAATTCAAAAGGGATAGAGCTATCACCCCTGGCTTTTAAAAGCCTTTAAAGAAAAAAGCTGAAACAAGTTGGAATTTCTCCTATTGCCTGCGTAGCTGCCATTTTTGTGTGCACTTTGATATGTCGAGCCAGGAGGAGCCTTGGAAACAAGTGAACAGAAAAGGTGGTTTCTCTGACCAAACGTCCACTTCTTATAGGAAGTCGTTTGTGCGAATATTATCAATCGTTAGCGCTAGCAACAACTCCACGAACTCCTTGTGGCAGAAGAGACCTTAGGTAGACCATCCTGTCAACCTACCTCCCGCCCTGACTTGAAATCGACTCACAGCCCCTGAGTCTCTGAGGATGACGCAACATGCGCTTAGCGCAAAAGAACAACAGCACAACTCTGTTGATTGTGACTGTGCTCGACGCCTGATGGACAGCAGAAAAACCGTTTTCTCTAACTTGTCAATGCAAAACATTAATTAATTGCAAGAAAGCCTCATTTTTTTGGGTTAGAGCATTTATTGTAAGAGAAACTCAGTGCGACTCACGAATGATCCTGAGAAAAAAACTTATCTCTCTTGTATGTTACATGCGCCGCCGTTTGTAATTTGTACACAACATATTTTATCATATGAAAATCGGACAGTTTTTGTCCTGTGCAGTAAGCCATCAAGGCTTGATATTTTGAGAAAGTTCAATTTTTTAAGAGAAGATCGAACAACGAAATAAACCTTGCAATAATTGTTTTTAAAGCGGGTGAAAAGAGCGATATTTGGGTCAATGTTTGCACATTATTTGAATGACTTCAAATTTGATTCCACCAGTAGGACGGTCATTTGAAAACCAAATTTTCTCGGCTTGATGAGTTACTAACAAATTTTGGATCAATATTAGTATCTGGGCAACTGCCCGCCTACCCCTCCCCTAACCCAACAACAGTCAATTGATAACAAGTTAGGGTTAATGTTGGATTAGGGGAGGGGTAGGTGGGCAGTTGCCCAGATACTAATATTGATCCCAAATTTTATAGACATGGTTGGCTTTGTGAGCTCCGCTTCAGTAAGATAAAATAGATATATGGGACCAAACGAAGTAAAGTTGATTGATGACAAATGGACTCTTCCCCGGAGTAAATTTAATTCTGTTTTCATATGGTTTCAGCTGGTTTGTGCAAATTTTAGTTAAAAGTGAAACTTGTCATTGATAATTTATTAAAAGAGAACAATCTGTTAGGAAGCCTTCGCTCTTTTGTTTCAATAGCCTTGACAATTGGTCATCAAACACTAAAATACGTATTTGTTTTGATAGTATGCCAAAACAGTACTAACACTTTGCGCCTTCTGTGCACTTCTCGCTTTCAGTTCGCTAGAAAATTACTCCATCATCGAAGAAACTCAACTCTGAAAGGTAAATGGACACTTTCGTATTTTATTTTTTTTATCATGAATGCCTGGTGCGAGTTTTGATGCGGCCTAGTTTTGCTGGTAGTTTTTCTTTAATTTTTCATCGTTTTCATCTTTTAAATGCAAAAAAAAAAAGAAACTTCAAGGAAGTTTTCCCTTTCACAGTGATGATATTTTAGACAGGCTAAGTCTTACAAGTTTATAGTTGTGGTAAATGAAAAACGACAGGTTCTGACCTGAGAGTTTTTAAGGCGTGGTGTACACCACTCAGTTTAAGATACGGTTGTCTAAGGTAACCGTAATTTTCACGGGAAACGTGACCAAAAATTGGTTTATTATTTGGTTGAAAGCTGTACTGAGAAAAAACATTGACAGTTCTCTGGCAAAAGTAGACTGAGCTTTCCTTCCGTGTACCGTTGTTATAGACGTAAAGAAGTGGTGGTAAAATATTCTTTGAATTTCCATTTTTGAAAGAAAGAAATTAGCTTCAAGGACGTCTTTCCCATATCAGTAATGATATTTTAAAGACGGTTGGTCTTTATACTTCACTTTTATAATTTTGAAAAATCAGAAACGATAAACTCTGGGCAAAGATTTCAAAAGCGTGATGAATAATCGTCAGTTTGAGACAGTTGTTTAAGCCGGAATCTTCACAGGAAACCTGGCTCAGAATTAATTCATTCTTTTGTGAACAGGTGGAGTTGAGAAAACATGTTCAGGTCTTTTGCTTCAAATCGACCGAGCTTCTCTTTATGTACCACTTTTCATAAACAAAAAATGACCTATACTAGAAAAAGAAGCCGGCACTTTATGGGGAACATTTAATGCCCATTTGAGATTTTATGGATTTGAAGAGGTGCGAGGTCTTCCACCCAGTTTTCTAATTAAAACGCATTGTGCTAAGAACTTTGCAAATTTCAATAACTTCAAAACATTCCCCATGTATATCGCTGGCTTGCATCTGAAATAAGGTATCCTCTTTTTCTTCACTACCAGGGTGAGTGATACCTGATATTCTGCTTGCTGCTCCAGAGTAAACTGTCATGAAGGTAATAAAACGTAAAGATGTTTTACGTATGCGATCTGAATTTAGAATGATGATCCTTTGCTCCAAGCTCACCTTCTTGAAAGTCGTCTTTCACGACTTTAAATCAATAATACGTCACCTAAATGAAGAGTTAAAAACAACAGAACAAGACAAAACACATCAAAACAAACCAAAGTCGGAAAACACACTTTGCACAATATTACGGAAGGAATTTTACAGTTGGCCTCACATTTGTCTTTAGAAAAAGCAAACATCGAGGCATGAGTGAGACATTTGGCCACAAAATGGCTGGGAATCGTTTAAGGAAGTTCGGGTGATATCTAAAAAGCTCAATACACGGACATCCGAGGAAAAAACAAAATTCGAAGGAGTGAATATTACTGTGCCCAACTGCTGTTCTCACGTTAACCTCAAGTTAGGTAAGACTTGGCTTTAATCATCAAGCTACAGGAACATGTACATTGAATAGTGATAGAAGTGGCCCATATTGTACTCAGTTTTAGGCCTGACACTTTAATCGGCTAAGCTTTGGGATTTTCTGTTTAAATCTAAAAAATTTTAAGAGCAAACGGATCGATAAGGCCATTTGTTAATGTTTTATGCAATCAAACGTGAGTTTGTGATAAGGTGGATCTGAGTCCCATGTGCTTTTATGACGTATTTTGATGTGATAACCACTTTGCAGTAAAATTAGAGGAGCCAACAAGCGTGGTTTGAAATTGTCATCACTTAACCGGAAATTAACAAATTCAGTTGACGCCTCCATCTTTCAGTAAGTGTCCAAAAATAATGTATTTATTTTAGTTACTTTTTGTTTACCAACTAAAACCTACCAAGATTACACAAATGAAATGGATGTGTGTAGGGGAGTTTATTATACTGCTTGCAGCGCCAGTGGGAAATATGAGGCGAATCCTGTGTTTTAATTGCCCACCCGAGCGGGCCCATCTTGCCCGCAGGGTATTTCCCTCTTGGATTCAGCACAAGAAAAAAAATTGCCTAGAATATACAGACAAGTTTCTTAATATTTGGACAATAACGGAGATGAGGTCGCAAAAAGCACCAAAAGACAGGTAAAGAAAAAAAAAGAAAACATAAACTATAAACTTAAACGACTCTCGTTGGTTTATTTTGCTACAAACACAGTGGGCTTCCTTTCCAGTCTTTCGAAACGAATAAGTCTTGATTCTTAATAAAGCGATGATCTTTTTGTTGTATCATAAATCCTTCATTGACTAAGCTTGTTTGGTCTAACTGGCTGGATATTAGCCTCATTCTTTTTTCCGTGTTATTGACCTCGACTTAGTCTCGTCCATGAAAACGCAAAAAAGGAACTCGGCCAATATCTAGCCCTCGTGACCTCACGCTTGTTTAAGAACGGATGTATATGATAAACTAATAGGATTGACGTTTTGATATTAATTTTCAAAATAATTTTATTTCCTGAAGGGATGCTTCAGCCACAAATTGTTTTCCTATTAGTGATGTCATTTGGGGTACAATGCTTAGGTATGTTAACATTTTACTCTTATCGTCTACACATAATGTGTTACAGGTCTTATCAGATGCCTCAAGCTGAGAAATTTCTGAAATAAGTATGGCTAAGACATTTTACCGTTTGGTATAAATGAGCAATAGGATAATTTGGGTTTTATGACATGAGTTGATAATGTAACTTAGCCACCGTAAAGAGTTTCAAAGCTGACGTTTCGAGCGCCAGCCCTTCGTCACTTGAATCTCCTTACTTTTATCAAAAATTCTATCTAAGATTCTCCAACTCTTCAATATAAGAATAAATAAAAGTAACTTTTCAGAGGATTACTTTCCTTGAATAATTAATAATATCCGTTTACATTTCATGTGGATTTTGGTGGAACGAACCAGCTTGTAAGTGTCTCCATATTTACATAATGGTTAACGAGAACTTAGCCTGTTCCTTTTCATGAGGATATTGTGCAATAACTACCGTTATATGCAGTATCGATAAAGTTCTAGTACCATCCTCATACTTAATCAATCCTATAAAGTTATCACGCCTATGAAAGCCAATCAGAAGGCATGGATCACCAGTGATTTCAAATTAACATCATTACTGATACATGAAAAATGACTTTTCTTCACATTAGATCACATTATATTTCTTATTATTATTTAAGTCCTCTGTAAATTCTTTAGTGCGCGAAAGTGACAACTTTAATAATACAAAAAGGACCTAATTTCTCTTCATATTAATGCTATCTGACCAGAATGGTATACGTTCAAAATATCAGCTTGGGTATTTTGATGATTTACATTAATTGTTAACATTATATTTGATGAGCATGCCAGAGAATGGTGAATTCATTTTACTTTCAAAAGGTTTTTGTTTTTGTTTTTTTTATTGAATCTTCTTACTTTTATTGAAATTCTATCAAGAATTACGTCAACTCTTCAATATGAAAATGAATGACATTCACTCCTCAGATGGTTACTTTCTTTTCACAATAAATACTATCCTTTTTACTTTTCATGTGGATTTTGTGAAACGAATCAGGTGGTAAGTGTCTTCATATTTAACATATTGGTTAACGAGAACTTGGCTTGTTCCTTTTCATGAGGATAAGGTGAAATAACTACTGTTATATGCAGTACAGATAAAGTTCTAATAACATCCTCATAGTTAATAAATCTTAAAAAGTTATCATGCACATGAGAGCCAATCAGAAGGGACAGATCACTAGTGATTTCAAATTAATATCATTATTGATATAAAAAAAATGAATTTTCTTCACATTATATCACATATTTATATACGTCCTCTTGATATTTTTGCTACGTGAAAGTGACTACTTAAATAATTAAAAAAGAACCTAATTGCCCTTCACATTAATGCTTTGTGGGCTGAAAGGTATTGGTTGAAAATATCAGCCTGGCTATTTTGATGGTTTGCATTTATTGTTGAAAATTCTAATATGAGTTCTCCTAACTCTTCAATCTGGAAATGAATGAAATTAACCCCTCAGATGATTTCTTCCTTTTCACAATGAATACTATCCTTTTACTTTTCATGTGGATTTTGTGGAACGAATCAGGTGGTAAGTGTTTTCATACATAACATATTGGTTAACGAGAACTTGGCTTATTCCTTTTCATGAGGATATGGTGAAATAACTACCATTATATGCAGTACCAATAAAGTCTAATAACATCCTCATAATTAATCAATCCTATAAAGTTATCACGCACATAAAGCAGGGCGTGAAATTAACTTTTTTTTCTGATAGCCACTTGGCTCCTAAATTCTTCAAAGTGGTAGCCAATTCAAAAAAAGTTGGTCGCCATTTTCAAAGACAAACAAAATCTTTCTTTATGCTGTCAGCGTTCTAGATAGACCCTCCAAAACTAAGTTAGGGAAAAGATCTACACGTGCTACAAAGTGGACACTGGGATAGATGATATACAACGTTCAGGCTCATCTAAATCCAAGATGGCGTCTAGTTATCGATCGAGATGCATGTGCTACGTTTTGGAAACAAACTTAACGAGGAAGTTTGCCGCGGATTTATCTTTGCAAATATTTTTAATTCACTATATCTCTTGGTAAGGTTATGATGAAACGTTCTAGTCGCCAATTTGGTGACTAACTTCCAGGATCTGGTCGCCAAAGTGAAAAATTTAGGCGCATTGGCGCCTGTATTAGGCGCAATTTCACGCCCTGCCATAAAGGCCAATCAGAAGGGATAGATCACCAGTGATTTCAAATTAATATCATTATTGATATAAGAAAAATGACTTTTTTCACACTATACCTTATCATATTTCTAATTATCATTTAAGTCCTCTATATATTCTTTGGTGCGCAAAAGTGACTACTTTAATAGTGCAAAAAGAACTTAATTTCCTTTCATATTAATGCTATCTTACCAGAATGGAATGGGTTCAAAATGTCAGCCTAGCTGTTTTGATGATTTTCATTAGTTGTTGACGTGGTATTTAATGAGCTTCCCGGAGAATGGTGAATTCATTTTACTTTCAAAAGGTTGTTTTTTTTTATAATTGAATCTCCTTACTTTGATTGAAATTCTATCAAGGATTCTGCTCACTCTTCAATATGAAAATGAATGAAATTAACCCCTCAGATGATTTCTTTCTTTTCACAATAAATACTATCTTTTCCCTTTTCATGTGGATTTTCTGGAATGAATCAGGTGGTAAGTGCCTTCATATTTACATAATGGTTAACAAGAACTTGGCTTGTTCCTTTTGATGAAGATATGATGTAATAAATTATTGATAAAGTTATAAGAACATCCTCAAAAGTAATCAAACCTACCAAGTTATCACACGCATGAGAGCCAATCAGAAGGCATGGATCATCAGTGACTTCAAATTAACATCATTATTGATATAAAAAACTGTTTTTTGTTGACATTATATCACATTATATTTAGTTAAGTCCTCTTGATATTTTTGCTCCATGAAAGTGACTACTTTAATAATACAAAAATAACCTAATTTCCTTTCACATTAATGCTATTTGACCTGAAGGTATCGGTTGAAATGATCAGCCTAGTTATTTTGATGATTTTCATTAATTGTTGATATGATATTTAATGAGATTCCGGGAGAATGGTGAATTCATTTTACTTTCAAAAGGTTGTTGTTGTTTTTTTTTAATTGCTTTTGATTGAGAATTCTATCAAGGATTCTCCTTACTCTTCAACATGAAAATGAATAAAATTAACCCCTCAGATGATTTCTTTCTTTACACAATAAATACTATCTTTTCACTTTTCATCTGGATTTTGTGGAACGAATCAGGTGGTAAGTGTCTTCATATTTACATATTAATGGTAAACGAGAACTTGGCTTGTTCCTTTTCATGAGGATGTTGTGAAATAACTACAGTTGCATGCAGTATCAATAAAGTTCTAAAAGAAACATCCTCATAGTTAATAAATCTTAAAAGATTATCACACAGATGAGAGCCAATCAGAAGGCATGGGTCACCAGTAATTTCAAATTAATATAATGTTAATACAAGAAAAATTACTTTCTTCACATTATATCACATTAAATTTATTTATGTCTACTTGATACATGAAAGTGACTTCTTTAAGAATACAAAAAGAACCTAATTTCCTCTTACATTAATACTTTCTGAGCTGAAAAGTATCAGTTGAAAATATCAGCCTAGCTACTTTGATGATTTGTATTTATTGTTAAGAATTATAACATAGCTAGTAAATTTGTCTAATCAAATTCAATTGCGTGAGTGTGCTTCATATTCCTATTGTGCATGCTCATGACGTCAGCAAACACATCCCTCAAGAAAAAAAATTTTCCATTGGGTTGAAAATGTTATAAAACAATTGGATCATACATCAGCTGTGTGTTTATTGAGATATGAAGCACTTGGGAAGTTTGGAGAGTACTCAAGAAGCTTGAGTTGCTCTTGGCTATGCCTCGAGCAACTCTCATGCATCTTTCATGCTCTCCAAACTTCCTGCATGCTTCATATCTCGATGAACACACGCTAATGTATGAACCAATTGTTAATTCTAATATGAGTTCTGTTAACTCTTCAATATGAAAATGAATGAAATTAACTGCTCAGATGATTTCTTTTATTTCACAATGAATACTATCCTTTTTACTTTTCATGTGGATTTCGTGGAATGAATCAGGTGGTAAGTGTTTTCATACATAACATATTGGTTAACGAGAACTTGGCTTATTCCTTTTCATGAGGATATGGTGAAATAACTACCTTAATATGCAGTACCGATAAAGTCTAATAACATTCTCATACTTAATCAATCCTATAAAGTTATCACGCCTATAAAGGCCAATCAGAAGGGACGGATCACAAGTGATTTCAAATTAATATCATTATTGATATTAAGAAAAAGAACTTGAAGAAGAACCTAATTTCCTTTCATATTAATGCCATCTGACCAGAATGAAATCGGTTCAAAATATCAGCCTTGTTATTTTGACAATTTACATTTACTGTTGACATGATATTTAATGAGCTTCCCGGAGAATGGTGAATTCATTTTACTTTCAAAAGGTTGTTGTTGTTGTTTTTTAATTGAATCTCCTTACTTTGATTGAGAATTCTATCAAGGATTCTGCTTACTCCTCAATATGAAAATGGATGAAATTAAGAGAGTGTCTGTAAGAGCGGTCCGGTCGATTTTGCTTGAGACACGGATTTCGCTCATTTCTTGGGTGTTGTAAGACATTCATGTACCTATACTAAAACCACAATCCGTTTGATCGGATCTCTTTATTTTTCAGAGTTTTACGGAAATTAAATTTCACTCGAGCGAAGGCTTGTTGTGACACTTTTCAAGACTTTAATTTAAGACAACTTTGGAGGACAATTTACAAAAAAACTACGGAACTCAGCAAAAAATAAATACCACAGCCATGTATTTTAACTCTATCTTATCTATCGAGGCGACTTTCGTGAACATCACGTTTCAATCAAGCAAAGAGGGAGACTTGAATGACACCTTATCGGT